GGGGGGGCATTAGCTGTCCGCGGATGCTTGACCAGAGCCAGTACATCTTCAGCCCAGTCCTGCAGGACCCCAGAGCACAGTAGTCAGACCCCTGATCTTAAAAGTGCCTGTACCACCCCATGGCCCAGACCTCTCTCTCAAAAAGTCTAGTATCCCAGTTTACACATGGTTAGGACCATCCCTGCCCGCGGTGGCTCTCCTCATCCCTCCCTCTCAGCCACCTGAACTGTAGTCCACTGGGGTGAAATCCCATCCCCATCTTAGGAGCCACAGGCCTCAGCATCTTCCATCCCTCTCCAGGAGCGGGAAGTTGTTGTCAGGAAAGTCCATGTTGAAGACATCCCGGAGCTTCTGGCTCTGCAGCAATGGAGACATGGTTAGGACCATCCCTGCCCGCGGTGGCTCTCCTCATCCCTCCCTCTCAGCCACCTGAACTGTAGTCCACTGGGGTGAAATCCCATCCCCATCTTAGGAGCCACAGGCCTCAGCATCTTCCATCCCTGACTCCAGGAGCTGGGGCTGGGAGCAGGAGGCCCATAGGAAGAGGCTAACCAAGACTTTGCGACCTGGGAGTCCTGTGTGTCTTGTCACTTTTAATTTGAAGACAGATTCTTAGCTCCCAGTCTCAGGGAATCCTGCTCCCATCAATCTTTTCCTCTAATCTTCCTACCAGCATTAGGTAAATATAGTCAAACTAGTCAGGGGGTCAGGAGTGTGAGCAACACCTGCCAGATAGCCTGGGGTGCTCTAAGGGCAGGAGATGGCCTCATGACATCTCTTCTGATGGTACCCTGGCACCGAGGCCCCAGCAAGCCCTGGAGCAGCCATGCCCCTTCCTCATCTCAGAATGAAGCCTTGCTGCCCAGCCCAGGGACACTTCACCTTGTTCCAGAGATCAGGCTTCCCACCCCCTGAGAGACTCCTGCCTGCACCTGGGCTACTGCTGGGCCCACCTACCTTGGGAATCTTGGCAAACTTCCCAAAGCGGGTGTCGCGGATGCTGGTGATATCCAGAAACTCCATCTCCTGGAAGGTGCCCCATGGGAGCAAAGAGGAGATGTGGACAAAGAGCAGGGTGGAGGGAACATCCATATCCCTTCACATCTCAGTCGACTGCCCTCTCTCGATGTCAAGACTGTGTAGGGCCACCCAGACCCCAGCCTTCCCTTCCCAGTGATCAGGTTCTCTTTACTCATGATGACCCTCCTCCCTTCCTCTCTGCTCATTCCTTCCCTGGCCATTCAAGTTACTCAAATTACTTGGGAAGCTGTAGCCTGCAGTCTCACCTCTACCATCCTGGACTCTCCCCAGGCTCCTGCTCCCTTCTTTCTGCTTGGGTGCTGAGGTCCTTCTCTGATTTCTCTAAGCCCTCAAGTTCACCCAGAACCACAAGCAGAGAATCAGCCTTCAGCTGCAGCCCTCTTCTCTCTCTCTCTCTCTCCTCCCACCCCCTTTCTCTCCACAGGATGCTAAGGCTGGAGCATCTGAGTGAAAGGCAGCCATGACTGGAGTAACTGCATCCTCCATTCCAAAGCAAATAGCCCCTACCTACAGGAGATCCCCCAAAGCCACCCTTCCAGGTCATTCTATACTCCCTAGCATCCACATCTCCACCTTCAAATCACCAAGAAGCTGCTTTAACTCAATGAATCAGTAGGAACTCAGGACCATGGTAGGTAGGGGCTGTCTCACCTTACTCTGATATGTCCAGTATAAGTAATAGCCCTTGGGGTCCACACGGAGGATAACCGGGGAGGCTATCGTTGTTTCCTGTGGAGAGAAGGAATCAGCACCCTTCTCTGAGACTTCAGGCCAAGCTCCCTTGGCCCACACCAGGGGTTTCAGAGCTCACCATCTCCCTAGCAGGTGGCCGTCCCAGGAATCTGCAGGCATTTCCCTTTGTTTTCCAGGGCTAAGGGCTAGGCATAAGCTTTAAAAGCTCTGGACCAGGGGTAGAGAGGGGTAGAGGATTGGAGATGGCATTTTCGCCTCTAAACCCCAAAGAGAAGTTCTCCCTCTAGACCTCAAACAGGGTCTTGACTCTCACCTCACCTTGTTTTCAAGGGCCGCAGCTCAGCCAAAGGTGTAGAATATCTCTCCCTAAGTCTCCATACTACCTCCAGGATTGCTCAGCACAGTGAGAGCCAAGAGCCCAGCTCCTGTGCCTACGTCCAAAGCCCTGCACAACCTAGCAGCAACCTAGATTCCCACATGCACAGTCCTCCCTTCCATGGACCACCCTCTATCCCATCCATTCAACTGTCTATAGCCACCAAGGGCATTCCACCTCCAAGCCTAAATACCCTCCCCTGCCTGAAACATCATCAAGGACCAGCCCAAGCCTCACTTCTTCTTTAAAGCCTTTTCTGAAACACACTGGGTGGGGACTGGATCTCAGACCTAGAAGCCCACCTGGAAAATCCCCAGGGACTCGTGGACTCCCAGGAAACAAGCCTGTACTAGACCACGAGCTCAGTGCTGCAGGTTTGCTGAAGGAGCGAGTGACTGATGAATATGAATGATAAATAAACTCACTTCTAAATTTCTGCTCTGTTCACAGAGCACACAGACTACCTTTGATTGTAATGGTCTTTGCATATATAACAAGATATTAAAATGGAAGTTTCCAACAATGCATGGTAGTTCTTGCATGCCAGACTAGACCAAATGCAGAATTTACAAAGGAAATAATCTCTCCACTCCCCACCCCAACGCCAGCCCCACCCCCCGCCAAAAACAAAAACAAAAACAAAAACAAAAATGTCTCTCAGATTAGGGGTGGTTGAAGTAAGGAGCAAAGAGAACACTTTGTGGGGAAGCTAATTTTGGAAAAATCTGTGTTGTGAGTTGCATTCCCTTGCCTCTTCAAGGGAGGATTGGGGGTGCCTGCCCCCCACTTTAAGTCTAGTAGGGGGTTTCAACTACGCTTGGAGAGTTTTTATTAACCCTGTCGTTGCGAGACACAGAGATGCAGGCATGCTAGATGATCCCAAACCCCAGAGTCTGTTGGGGCCATGAACACATATTTGCTGGGGTCCAGAGTGGGTCTGTGGAAGGAAGGGGCAAAGAGTCCAAAGCTACAGGAAGCTGAAGATGGTAACTGGATTTGGAGCGGCTGAAGAAGTCATTTCAACCAACCTTCTGAAATAGAGATGGTGAGAGGACTCTAAGCAAGAGATCCCTAGCTCAAGGGGCGGGGGGGCGGGGGGGGGGTTGGGCAGAGGCAGGGAGGGCGGGTCTCCGGAGAATCCTCAAAAATGTGTACCAGAAAATGAAAAGCCTACACCTCTACCAGGCTCAGAGAATACAAGCCAGCTGACAATAGCACCTGTTCAATAAGCACTTTGGCACCCCTTTCCCATCTCCCTCCCTGCACCCCATCCCTGAGAGGAAGAGGACCCGGGAATCCCACCTGAAGCCTTTCCAGGGGGCCTGCAACCCATGTGAAACCATTTCTAGAGGGAGGAGGGGAGATATCATTCTAAATGAAGGTTGAAATTTTGAATGATAACTAGTTTCTGACATAAGCATTGTGAGGAAAAGTGGCCATAGAATTGACTATTCTCCAAGAGCAAATGGAATGTCTGTGACTGTCTGACTTTCCTTCCACGGGCAGGAGGAGAGCTTCTCTCACCAAATACATTGTAAAGGAGCATGCGAGACAAAATTAAGTTGGGAATTGATTACATCCTGTGCACTGTGCTTATTCAACATGGCACAACATTCTCAAGTCATCTGCCAACTGGGCCGAAAGCAATCTGAGAGCAGAGCTCTGGCTCCTAGCTGTATGTGCCCAGTGACCAGGCTTGGGAGGTTCCTGCTCTTGGAAGTCAGAATCGAGGACTGCGCAGTACTCTGCATTGGAGAAGGGAGCGGGACAACCAGTTACTCAGGCAATGGCTTGGAGAGAAGGCCATAAAGCATGTCCTCATCCTTAATGACCCTCTGCCTAGTCAGGTTACGCAGAGGAACTGAGAGAGGCCACTTCACTTTTCATTCTGAGCCACTTCCCTCATTCCATAAGCTCCTGGGACATGCCACCACCATGCCACATTAACCACACACTCCTAAGAAAGCAGAAAGCATCTAGCAAGGGCCCCCTCCCCATAGTCATGGCAACTAGCTGATTCAGCCTAGTCCAGCCCTGAAGTCTGCCTTAACTCACAGACCCAGAACCCCCTCAACTCACCTGTAAGGAGGACCGGCCAGCCCTAAGGGCTCTCTCCTCACTTCACCCCCATTCCCGTAGAGACTGCATGTTCCCTCCCTGGGACCAATGCCTCTGACTCTCATACTGGGCCAGCCTGATGGCATCCTCTTTCTGAAGAAGGGGCCCCATATCATTCTCCTCGAATGCCCAAGAGGATCCCTGGCCTCTGGTGCCTGGGAAGACCAGAGGCTGAGAAGCAGTCCCCAGTTTGGGAAGAAGCAGACACAGTGGAGACAGAGGTGCAAGGCAAAGCAGCGCCTTCCCCCTTCCCTTGCAGACAGGCAGGCGGCAGGCAGCCTGCCTGAGAGCAGCCAGCGGAAGCAGAAGTCAATGCACTCCCTCCCAGGCTCCTGGGAGCAGAAGCCTCCGATTCTCTCTTGGGATCCAGGGGCCTTTGGTGGCTGCCCCAGCAGCTCAGGGGAGAGCAGGGCTTCCCTTGTTCAGGATCAGGGGCAGGTGGGGAGGAGTTAAGGATTCCAGTCTTGGCATCCTAATGGGGCAAGAGTCGGGTATCTGTGCTGGGAGTAGGGCCCCTGGCTCACCTCTGCTTCTAACTCTGCCTCAGCTCTAGGACACACTTTCCTCCTACTAAGGCTGGGACCAAGAGCAACAGATCTTGCTCTTCTTGGGGGCTTTGGGGAAGGACAGACCCAGACTCAAAGAAACTTCCTCCTGTGACCACCCAGGCCCCCACCCTCTTCTCATATCCACACACAGGGCCCTAGCCCCGGCAACCCAGGGACATATGCTTGGGGCACACACCCTCACCCCCAGGTTTGTTTATCAAGGCAGTTGTCAGCTGCCTGGCCCAACTACACAGGCACCTGGTCCTGGTAGACATAAACCAACCCACTCACCCTGGCAAAACCTATAGCAGCTTGCCCTCGCCCTCCCCCACTTCTGTCATCCCAGCGCCCCAGCAACCCACAGCCCCTGCCCCACTCACATCGTCCCATTTGATGAAGCGCTCCCCTTGGCTCAGATAGGCCTTCACCTTGGGGGGCAACAGGACAGGGTTGAGCAGAGACATGGTGCCAAGTATCCCTCTTTGGAGAAGCTGGATAAGCAGAGGAGTGCAGGAGGAGGGAGAGATGGAGGGCGGGCAGGAGGAGAGCCAAGCTGGGCTCACATGGCACCCGCCCTGAGCCAGTCCGGAAGTCTGGGTGCTCCACGGGTGGCAGTGCTGGGTGCAGAGCTGAGTGCTTCGGCCAGAGGCCCAGCTGCTTTTTAAATCAGCCTCCTCCCGTCTGCCTACAGTGGAGGCTGTGGTCACAGCTCCTCAGCTCCTGCCCAGGGAGGCTGGCTCCCCTCCTCGAAGCCCCCGCCCTCACCCTGTGCCTCAGCACTTCCTGCTCAGGGCTTCCTTCTCTGTGCAGTTCAGGACTGTGAGGCGGGTCATAAGGCCTGGTCGTCTTGGAGCAGGGACCTCCCAGTCCCAGGGTTACACCCTGGTCAGAAGCAGCTGGGGAACTGGAGAAGGAACAATATGGGACCCACTGGGGATACTGTTGCCCAGGTGGGGACTGAGAGGAGGAAGCAAGGAGGTCACCAGGGAGAGTGACCTCCAAAGGGGTGGGGTCCAGAGCATAAGAGTCTCCCCTAGAGCCTGAGGGGTCTGGGACCACCCTGGAGGTTGGAGTTAGGGTGCGGCAGGGCCCAGGTAGGATTGAGTGTTTTGAATAAGCAAAGTTTGCTGAACACTCGGCTCCTCTTTCTCAATGCTTCCTCTCCATGAAAATGAGATGCAAGTGAGGCAATCATACCCCTCACTCACCACACATGAATCTCTCCTCTTGGTCCTCTAGGTCTGGCTGAGACCTGGAACCTCCACTGACTAGCCACCATTCAACACATGGCTGGTTTGAGCAACAATTGGCCACTAGCCTCCATTGGACTTTCCTGTCAGGCTCCCTCTTCTGCTCTGTGCCCAGAGCCTGCGGTGAGAACACTTGAGGCAGGAGGCTGTTTGGAGAGGACTCATCTCGGGGCACCTGCTCAGGGTGCATGACCCTAACACTGTTCCAGCCCAGGGAGCTCAGTCCTGGCCCTGCTCAGTGAGCCCACTTCCTCTTGCTTAACCTGATCTGCATATCACCCTTGTTAATTCAACTGGGGGAGCAGGGAGCTCTGCCTAGGACTTCCTTCCCCTCTCAGGGCCTGGCTTTTTGCAACCAGATTCCACCTTGAGCCTTTGTGCAACCAGATTCCACCTTCAGCCTTTGTGCCACCTCCTGACAACTGTGGGGTCCTCAGTCCCTAGAACTATCTCTGCTGGCCAGTCTGGGCCAAGGCAGGAGGGTGGGGGACAGTGGGGGCTAGAGCTAAAAGGATTCTCTAGCAGAAAAATAACCCCCAGAAAAGCAATTCTAAGACCATCAGGGTGGAGCCTGGAGCAAGGCCTGACTGAGCCTTTGGAAGCAGCTTAGAAATCCTCTAGCTCCCTTGCCCTCTGCCCTCAGGACTCATCCTGTCTTCTCTCCCTCCTTGTCCTGCTGTCTCCCATCTCTCCTCCCCCATCCCTCCAGCTCTGGGCCCCTCTGGTGGCCCCTCTGGTGTCCCCTGCAGTTCCGATTCCCTCCCTGGGATCGGGTTCCCTCTCTGACTGTTTGAATGAATTTTGCAAGGGAAATCCCTGCCTTTCCCAAAGCCCCTGCACCTGTCACCTGCAGCCACCCTGGATCTGCACCCAAGTCCCTCCCTCTTATCTGCCCTGCAGCCATCATGCTTCTCTCCACTTTGGGCATGGAAAGACAATTCCTTCCCTGTCCCCCAGACTAGAGAAAGAAAAGAACAGGCTCCTCTCATTTCACAGGACTGGGGGTGCCAAAGGAAGGCAGAGAATTCAAGATTCTTTACCCTGATCCTTTCATTCTTGGGCTCTGAAGATTGAGGTTCTGAATCCACAGAATAAATCCTTACCCATCTTTACCCAGTGATTGCACTGCCTGGACCCAATTCTTGAGACCCTTCCCCAACTGTAGCTTCCATGAGGCCTGTACTCTCCTGCCTACATCCTTCAAAGCAGCCCTCAGAATGCAGGAAATCCACACAGTGAGGGGAGCTGGGAAAATCTTCATCAAAGAGGGCTTTTTTCTTTTAAAAATTAATTTAGGTTTTTAATAAATTGACAAAGAAAAATATTGTATAAATAATAGTAGAATGGATATGGAGAAAATCAGGAGGTCACACGAATACCCAGTTTGGAAAATATACTTCCTAGGCTGAGCTGAGCAAAGCCCCCCCCCAGGCCGTCTGCCAATCCCACCCGCAGGGCAGAAGGCAGAAGGGCAAGGATGCCCCCTGCTGGGTGCACTGGAAAGCATGTGCCTCCTGGTGAAAGGCCAGGTATCCAGGAAAAGCAGACCCTCAGGGAAGTCTCCAGAGGGTCTGTGTCAGTTGTGATCTGTGGAGACAGATATGCTGGAGAGTTTGGTATGTGTGAGCTTTGGGCTGTAGAACATTCTGAGAACTTACATTCAACTCACTGCTGCTTCCCAGGGAGATGTTGGTGGCCTGGAGCCTTAGAGAGAGATCCTGAATTCACTAGCTCACTTGGCAGCTTTGTGTGGGGACCTCGTACTTTGTTTACCAACCTGTTCATAAGAGAAGTTTAGTGGAAGTTGAACTCAGATCTTCAGATGAGCCAGTTACCAGCCAAACAAGAGTCAGACTAGGTGGGTTTCTTACCTGAAGGAGCAGTGAGGTTCAGGAGCCTAGAGGCCTGTCGTGGGTCTTGAGACAATGGCTAGCTTACTTTTGGAATAAAGAGGGCTCAGTTATTGCATCCTCTGGGGTCTGTTTCCCAGTCTGACCCAGGGAACCACACTCACTACTCTACGAATCCAGACACTTCCTTGCTGGTTTATCTTGTGATACCTAACCTTCCTGTGTCTCAACTTTCTCACCTGTAAAATGGAGATAACAATGCCTCAAGTGCTGTGGTAAGGACTAAATAATATAATGGATGAAAGTACTTAATACGATGCCTGCACTTGAGCTCAATAGTATTTTTTCCCCCTCTTTAATTTCCACACCCCACCCCCGCTACTTCCACCCCTGACCTATGGATGTTGCTGTTTCCCCTTAAGAACTGGATCAGTGAAGGTGGGACGTCTCCTCCCACAGGCTCTGGGCGCATACCCAGGGCCCTGGCGCACCGCACCGTAGGGCGTGAACTCAGGACCTTCTGCATGTAAAGCAGACATTATACTATGGAGCCACCCCCTATTTTATTTATTTTATTTTATTTTTTTTTAGCAGACACGGACAGGACAAATGCAGTTTCTTATTACTTCCTCTTCAGTATATATGCTACTCATTCCCTAACAAATATCTTCACTGACTTGCTCTTTGGCGATTGGTTGTTTTGTTTTCTTTTGTTTGTGTTGCATTGTTTAGTTTTCAGCAGTTTGTGCAGATCAATGGCTGAACCACCTTCCCAGGGCAGGCTGAGTTAGGGGTGCTGCTGATTGTAGACTTGCAGCAGACTGTCCCCCAAGTGGCCAAAACTTGTGAAGTAAAATGCCAACCTCCCACCACCTTCGCACCACCACAGCCCCGACAGCTGATGAGGCAGGTGTGAGACTGAGGACCAGGAGCTGTTCATTGGTCTGGCTATATGTCCAGCTGTAGCTCCAGATCCAGTCACCCTTTGCAGGCTGAGAGCTGAGTGTGAATGGAGGCAAGGACAAGGCTGGGTAGCAGGTGCTGAAGTAAGCAGGAGAGGAAAGGCAATCAATAGTTCTCTGCAGAAGCCCAGGAGGAAGATGTTGCTTATCCTCCCATGCCAAGCCCTTCTAGAATCATAGAAGGAGCTATCTGTGACTCAGAAACAGAAAAGAATAGGTCTCATGTGTGTGTGTTTCCCTTTGAAGTGCCATGTTGGATCAGGCTGTTGTAGCTGAGTGAACACTGGATCCACTCTCAAGAAACCCAGATTTTAGTCTCAACCAGAGCAAAGGTTTGCGGTATGATCTTGGCAAGTTACCTGAGCTCTCTGATTTGTTAAGCTTTTAATCATTTCTAAGGTACCTTTTAGCTCTAAAAACCTCTGCCTTTTCCATCCGAAAGGCCAACTTTGTCAATTTTATCTCCCACTATTTCTCTGAGAGGTGACGAACCTAGAGATGAGAGTTGTAAATGGCAGGAAAGGATTGGCCCCTACCCCAGCAGGGCATTCTTGGACACATTATTCATCTCCTCTGTCCCTCTTTATCTACCTGGAAAGGAAGCTGTTTACCTAAGTGTGATGAAAATAAATTAGAAAATGTTCTTCTCCAGGCGGTCATGGTGCATTGCACATAAGGACTACCCTCAGAACAGATTGCTTGCTTCTATCCTTACTCTTGTCCTCATCCACCTTTTTATCAGGACCTGGGCAAAGCCATAGAGACTCCTGAAGCCAGTGAGAACAGGGATATGTTGGGAGACACACTTGGGTCATCCTAACCTGCTGGAGTAACAGCCTGAACCTCAAAGGTGAAATGAATAGGGCTTAACTGAGAGATCCGGGCTTGGCTCCAAGGCACCGACTGTACAACCACAGGGTGGGGAAGTAGCAGCTTAGCAGAAGCATGTGTGAATAAAACTGAGGGTTTTTGCTGACAGCTAGCTCCATATGAGTCAAATGAAAAGGCTGCCAGAAAAGTGATGGATGCTTGGGTTGCTGAATTGAAGTCGAGTACTGAGCCCAGTGATTCTCCATCTTGATATCAATCAGAATTTCCTGGGAAGCTCTGGTAAACACTGTGTATTCCTTGTTGCACCCAGACCCTCTGAATCAGGACCCAGGCTGGGTGGGTAGGCAGAGGGAAAGGAAGGTGAGGAGTTTGAATTTCTAAAGAGCTTCACCCTTGGTTCCAATGTGCAGCCAGGGCTCTAGAACCAAGGAAGACTCAGTCCCATCTCATTCTTGGTATGTCAGGTCACATCTGATATACTCTGGGACTTTGGTTTAGTTGCCTTATTGCGGTGAAACACATAACTGGAGGATATTTGGTGAAGGGCAGCCAGGATGTAGGATTCAAGCAACACTGTGGGAATTGGTAGAGGGAACCATGGCATAGAAGACACAGGTGGCCAGGAGGTCTACCTTCAGATGAATGAAACTTGTCCTCTGTTGTCTCTAAGCTTAGAATCTTAGGTGACTTTATTGACTGTCTTAGGTCAGGTTTCTCATGAAACATCATGAGACAGAGATTTACTCGCAAGAAGTTTATTGGGAGGTGTTCCCAGAAACAATACAACACATCTGACAGAGTGGAGGAGTCAGGATTGAGAGAAGGAAATTGATCAGTGACTCAGTCACAGCAAAGGAGGTCTCCCCAGGGACTTCTGGGGTTGGGATGATCCTTCAGAGCTGGCCCCAACTAAGGCAAGATGGCTAGACCTTTGAATCCTCACATTGACCAGGCAGATTAATCTTAGGGAGGGTTCAGGAAGTTAGATAAGGCAACTCCTTTTGAAAATGCCCAAGGAGAGACTCGGCTATGAGCCATTAGCAGCTGACACTCCTGGAAACTTGGAGATAAGCTTCTTGGTCTCAAAGGCAGGATCTGGGTGGTTCACCATAGCACCACAACAGTATCCCCTTGGCATGGCTCCAACTACTTGCTTCACATACTGAGGTCACTCTGCCTGGAAATAGCACCTCCAGAATTCTGGTGACCACTTTCTCTGGTAAACTTAAAGAAAGATAAATAGAAGGAAACATAGCTCCCACTACAAATGGTGTCGCAATTGATATCCAGCATTCTCCACACCCCATTACTCATTCTAGATTCTCCTTACCTTCAGCTTGTACCTCTGCTGGTCTAGGTTGCTTACCTAATGGCATTTCTGAGGAGTCTGAGCCCATAATTACCATGCCCTTCTCAAACCAAGCTTCTGAAGTTGTCCACTTACTATCAAAATTAGGCAAGGGAATACCAAGAGATACCCCAGTGGATCACCTGGGTGCCAAACATATTCTTCCCTAACCCCACTATGCAGCAGCAGCCCAAACTCTTCTAAAGAATCAGGGTCAAGTACCCCTGTCAGGAAGTGACTCCTTTCTTTTCCTGCTGGTGTCTTAGCACAAGGAGTATGAAGGACAGAAAGCAGCCACAATTAATGTTTATGAGATTCTTATTCTGTTCCCTGGTGAAAGTGTTCTACCTCTGGGACCCAGATTCTCTAAACCCAGAGGACCTGGAACTATAGAATATGAACCACAAATTCCACACACATCTCCCCACATAGGTGACTGGGAGTGATGGTAAATGAGGTTACTTCTCCTTCTACCCCTTCTCTGTATTTTAGCTATTGAGCCATAACACAATATTATAGTTATTCAACAGGGTACATACTCCATGCCAGAGCATAGTGTCCCATTGTCTCTAAAATGATGCTTCAGCCTCATGAACAGCCTTCGAAAGGCTGTTCTTTTACTCTATCAACTCTATTCACCAGTGGGCAACAAAATATGTAGTATGCCCAGAAGATTCCATGACCATGTGCCTTCTCTTTTGCTATAAAGTGAGACTCTTGGTCTAATGCAATGTTATGTGAGATCCCATGTCAGTGAATCAAACACTCTTTAAGTCCTCAGAGAGTGGTGCTGGTTGAGGAAAAAGAAATCCATATCAAGAAAATATGCCCAATGAAGTTCAGATGTATCACCAACTCTTCCAGAGTAACTACCTGATAGGTTGTTGTGAGACAAATGAGACAACAAATATAAGTGCTTACTATGGTGCTTAGCACATAATAAGGGCATGGATGTTGTTACTATTATAATTGGTCAGAACTCTCCAAAGCCTGAGAAGGCTGCCCTAGGGAGCAAACAAGGTATACCATCATGGAGGGTTTTTTAGCTGATGCTGGAGAGTGTTCCATAGGGATGTTGTGCATGAGTTCTAGGGTCTGTGGGGGTATTTACAAAAGATAACTTTTTGGGCCCTTTCTGTCCCCACTCTGCCATGATTCTCTGATTTCTCTCTGACTACCCTTAGTAGGGGAGAGGCACTTAGAGAAGCATATTCACTTTCAGGCCACTAGGGGGCCATTTAGTTTCCTGCAAAAGGAATACACTAATGGTTTCTTAATGGCTCAGGCACCAGGGAGATCAGGCTCAATTATATCTGAAAGCAATTTGAGTTCCTAGGGTAAAAGACACTATGTAAATCCAGATAATAAATAGGGTTTATTGATGATAGGTTAAAGAATCTGGCACTGTTTAGTTTGGAGAAAAATAGGGTAGGAGGAATTGAATAAGGGCTTCAAGTACATTTATTCTTTAGTATAGAAAAGAGTGACATGCTGTTTTCCGCTCCACTGAGAACCAAGCAAGAAGAAAGAAGTTTAATTTGCAACAGAATAAATACAGAATGCACTCAAGAAAGATGATGGAAGAAGGCTTTGTTTTTGGCCTTACCTGGAATCTTTCAGAATAATTCACCTTGGTATGGTTGGTATGATCGGTCCTGCCAGGAAAGCCAGAGAGCAGGGGAGAGAAGAGAGGACAACATCCAGAAACAATTCAGGGATTTTAACTTAACAAGCCACCCTGCTAGACCCGCTCTGGAGGAGGACTGAGAAAGAGTGATTGTCTTTTCCCCATCAGCCTACAGAAGACAATATACACTGCAAACTTCCAATATCCTTGAAAGTAAAAAGCATCCAGTTGGCCCCTGCTAGTGGCAGACTCACACCTGGGTCTCAGGAATTGGAGTGAGGGGCTGGGTTTTAGGCCATTGGTTCCCCCAGCATCAGCACACTGGATTCTGACAGTCACTTGACTTCTGTGTGGGTGAGGTAGCCCGGCAATAGTGTTAGGGAAGGGCTTTCCCATAAAGGGGCAGCAGAAGCCAAAGGTTCCTGTGGAGCAAGAAGGGAAATGGGAAAGGCAGAGAGGGTCCTGCCCCGCAGAGCCAGAAGCCAGGAGTCAGGCTCACATCTGCAGGGACAGCACTTGGGGTGGGAGGAAGGTTCACCCACAGAAGCCCATCAAGAGCACAGTCCTCTCCCCACATACACTAACACAGGCAGAGTCTCCCATACCCATTGAGACACCCAGGAGGTCCACACATCCAGCTCTGAGAACACAGGAAATAGAATTCAAGGAGGAGAAAGCCAAATATTCTGAAAAGCCTTGTAGGGAGGGAATGGGAAGGAGAGAGAAGGGCGGAAGAAGCGGGAAGGCACAGGAGAAAGCGACTGCCGAGAGTCCGAGCTCGGAGAGAGGTCGTCAGAACTCACCTGAGGGAGGACGACCCTTACATGGAAAGAGGGGCAAGGGAACAACGGCCCGGGCTCTGAGACTCGCACAAGATCAGAGGGGGAAAAAGTTCTGGGAGCCGTCCACGGGTTCAGTAAACCCCTTAACCTGGAAGTCGGAAGCCCGCAGAAGCGGGACCTGAGACCTGTTACAAACTTTGGCACGAGGGTAGGAGAGGCGTCTGAAAAACCAGCTGAGCACAAAATCATGATGCAGTCTGGAAGGTCTGGGCAGCCTGACTGGGGGCTCTAAGAGGACAAGGAATCGGGAAGATTTCAGCAGAGCCCCGAAGCCCAGGCGGCACCGGGAAGGCGGGGGTGGGCCCGGAGGGGAAGGGGCGCGACTAGCTGTGACCACAATGGGAGTTCCCGTGGTTCTCGTCTGCCTACGCTGGACGTGAGCCAGGCTCACCAGGTGTAAAGGGGTCTGGAAGACCCGACCAGTGGGTACGTGGAGCGAGGCGCGAGCGGAGAGCACTGGCGTGGTAGCACCCCCACTCTGGGGGAAACCGAGGGCTGAGGGCCGAAGCCGCTGCTGCAGTTCCATCCGTCGTTTCAGGCAGGACAAAGAAGAGAGGTGCCAGAGTTGACAGCTCCGCTCTCCGACCGGCCCTCCACGCCCCCCTTCCAGGTCGGCGCTCCGCTCGGAACGACGCCGTTCCCCTTTTAAAGAAGCGCGGGGGCTCCCCCCCCGCCCTCGCTGCTCCACCCCGCGCGGGGCTGAGGCGCCGTTGCCCTTTTAAGAACCAGCCTCCTTTAACTCTCTCGTAACGGGGCGTCGCTGTGGGGCTCGCAGAGCCAGCCCGCCTC